CTAGGACGGTTGTCGACCAAGATGTCGAGCCCGTCCTGCCCGGATCTTTTTATAGAGGTTAAATCATCCTCGCAGCCCGTTCTAGCTAAGCTAGCACCGGCCCCCGGCCCCATTAACTGGGGTTACGGTAGAGGGGAACAACCTTTTTTTTTTTTTTTTTTTTTTTGATGCTGGGGTCAGGACTCGTCCTGATCCCAAGGATGAGGAAATCTTCTATAAGACCCCCCTCCGCATGCGATGGAGATGGAGTGTGGGATTCACCACCCAGCGGAACTTTGCTGGAATGGCGCCTACCCACTAAAACCCCACCCTTTTGACTAGTCTTTGCCGGGTCATTAAGTGGGAGAGGCCTGGGAATCGCCAGCGGCATGTTGTCCAGACCCCCCCCCCCTCGACCGCCCTCTCTCGAGGGTTACTCTCTTCTCCCCCCAGTTAATTGGGAGGGGAGAGGCGTTATTTTGCCTCTTTTCTCCTCCTTGTCGTCACTCGTCTGGGGGGCTGAGGGGAGCGGGACAGGTGCCCTGTAAGCAGGATTCAATCTTTCCACCCCCCTCTCCTCCTGATCCTTCCCGCAGAGCTGCAGATTTTAGGCTGGTCCCTCTGTGGGGGGTCTCTCTTCTTCCTTCCGCTTCTCCACTATTTTAAGTTTGGATGGGCGAGGAGGGGAGGGTGGTAGAAGGAGAGGAGAGGTTTCTCCCTCCTTCCCTTCCCCTCCCTTTTCTCTGGCTCTCTTCAGTCTCGGGATCGGGCCCTGAGGCTCGACCTCTATTCGGACTGCAGGGAGTTCGTCCTCCTCTACGCTGTCCCTAACTGGGGCAGACCGTAGAGGCTCCGACTTCTTCTCCGTTGTTGGGAGGACCGTCCTTTTAACGGAGGGGGTTGTCCCACTGTTGGGCTCCCCTCCCTCTCTAGGCGCGGTTTTCCCGTCCTTCCTCGGCGGGATGGGCGTTCTCTTACGGGTGGGGAGGGGGGATTGGGGGACAACTCTCCGACCCCGCCCTGTGGTTTGCCTTTTCTCCTTTCAGTGCACAGACTGGACAGTGAGCAGGTTTTCTGCACTGTGCCAGTCTGTGTCCACCCTCTCCGCAATTCATACAGCAGGCTGTCCTGTCTATACCAGACGGGCAGCACTGCTGCAGATGTCCACGGGCGTGACATCGGTAACAGCGGGCCGGTCTACTTTTGAGTAGTTCCACCTCAATGGTGGACCAACCCTCTGTTACCCGGCCCAATTTCGCCGCCTTGATCGCAGCTCTGTCTGGGCATTGCACCCAGACTGTGCAGACCCCCCGTACTATGGTGGGTATGTTCCCCACCCTAACTTCATTGGGGGAACACCCCCCAGCCTTCGCAACGGCCGCCCGGATGTCTTCCAGGTTGGCCTCCGTTGGCCCAATCTCGCGAAGGCGGAGATCAAGCCTGCGCGTTGGCCGTGTTATTTTAACGTCCTCGGTCTGGTCGAGGACGACGTTCATCGCGGAGGTGAGACGAGACGCCTTCATCTCCGCTTCCTTCCTATTTCCTGGGATTTCCAGGAGAAGACCTCCCCCGAAGCTGTTTTTTGGCCTAATATGGTCGATTTCCAGCTCCGATAGGGAGATCTTGTCCTTCATGGTCCTCATGGTCTCCGCAAAGGAGCTCTGTCCTCTCACGGAGACGAAGACTGCAGCCGCTCTCGGGAGCCGTTTCTTCGCCCTCTTGATTGCGAGGACCCGGTCCCGCCTTTTCTCCTCTTCCCTCCTCTTTGCGGAGGAGGGAGGAGGAGGAAGGGCAGATTGGGAAGTGCCTTTCTGGCTCTTATCTCCCTTTCCGCGACCCACCACCATAGCCCAAGAGGACTTCTGAGGGGGGTTCATAGGGCCTGAGGTCTCAGCCACCCCCTCTCCTACTGCGTTGGGGGCGTTGCCCCTGTCCCCAATAGGGGATTCTCAGGGGGAGGGGGAGTTTCCCCCTCTTCCCTACCACTCCCCAATTTCTTCGCCGCCCTGATGCAAGGGGCCGCCTTCTTCAGGGGGGCTTTTTTGGTCCTCCTTTTCTTCTGTTGCCCCTTTGTCCCAGAAGCAGGGGCAACAACAGGGGCGGGTGGAAGAATGCGAGTTAATCGCTCCTCCATTGCCTCCATCCTTTTTGTGAGGGTCTGGAGTGCTTCCATAATGCCCTTGAGACTAATCTCAATGAGCACCTGAATGGGCGTCTCGTACTCCATACCCTTACCCTCATTATTAAGGGCTGATGGCGTGTCATCAGCCCTGTCCGTTACAGGGGGGAGGGGTAAGCCTCCTTGTGTAGGAGAGGGCAGCAGCAGGTCCTGATCTCCGAACCTGTTCCTTTCCTCTCCTGCCCTCATGACCGCAATATCAGCATTCCGCTGACTTAGCTTCCTGCGAAGCTCATTAACTTGGGCCTTAAGGGCCGTGTTGTTCGTTTGCACGGCTTCGGCCCTGGACTTCCAGAATCCAGGGTCACCACCGTGCACTGCCCTACTGGTCAAAGTCTACAGGACCTCCCTCAGTACGTAGACGTTCATTTTTAAACGTCCACTTTGTTGGCCTCGGATGTTCTTCGAACATTGGCGGATTCTCTCGACGGAGAGAAGGGTTCTGTCGAAGCGTTTGTACAGCTCCTCCGTGGAACCCCCCTCCATCTTATTGATCCTCCGCAATGCCTTCCGCTTTTGGGAGCCAGTAAAGGCCGGAGAAATCACCCTTTCTTTTTCACTGTCACTTGCAGTGTGAAGGTCAGAGCTCTGCTTCTCCATCTCTGCCACATCAGGGTCGATGAGCGGGCCCGTCCCATCCAGGCGCGGCCTGCCCGGCCCTTTATAGGCCCATGCACGTCGTTTCCCCTGGTCCGTCCTCTCCCCCCCTGGAATCCAGGTGGGTATTCCAGTAGAGGCTGAAGGGGGAATAGTCCCCTCCACTATTCCTTCTTCATCCGAGGAGAGGAGCTGGTCCTCGAAATTTACTACGGGTGAGGGTAAACCCTCCACTCGTGTGGATGGACCCGGCTGGGGGTCCCCTGTCTCCGGAATATTCAGAGAAGGGGGGATCCCCGCAGCCTCCTCCGCCCCCACCATGTCCGGAGACAAAAGAGGGTGGAAGGGGGAAGCTACTTCCACCACCTCCACCTGCTCCACCTCATCAGAGGAAGACGAGAGAAGGGTCGGGGGTTTGATCCTCCTCCTTATTGCCGTGTCTCGGGTTTTAGCCGCCGGTTTTTTGGTCGGCTTACCTCCTCCCTTTAGCCCAGTGGCCGGGGGAAAGAGCCCCCCCTTTAGACATTAGAGGTGTCCGGCACCCATGGGATGCCGAGCTGTTCGAGCTTTTTAAGGGCTCGATCGTCCTTCCTCATGGTGGGCGAGAAGTCGTCCCCCATCAGTTCCGCGACCAAGACAAAGATCTCGGCCGCGAAAGCCCAGGGAACGTCATCGGGCCTTATACCGAACTCTTTTAGGTCCTGGGCAGCCATCCTCTTTAAATTTCCCATAGGTTCCCGCTCCTCACTCCACCCGGAGGTGAAGCGGAACACCCTAGAGAGATTCTCTGGGAGCCCTTCCACTGGCACTCCGTACGGGAGCGAGTCGTTCCAGGCCTTGCGGCCGTCCAACCATCTCTTGGCCACCAAGCTGTAGCCTCGGTCGTTCGCGCAATGTGCCAGGAATGCCAGGAGAGCGCAATAGCTCTTATGGAGTTCCTCCCTCATCCCTTTATTCTCGTGGAGCACGAGGTTTAGCCCCAGATAGCTGGTGGAGCTTCCCACCATCTCTAGGATTCTGTTAATCCTTTCCTTCGCGGTAGTGTCTTCCGCCGTTGCGCCCGCGGTGCACGCAACGGTTGGCCCTTCGTACAATGACGACGTACTGGGAGCAGGGACAATACCCCAGATACGCCGGCCTCCGGGATCCGAAGCCCATTGGCAGTCTCCTTCTCATTACTAGACATAGTAATCCATCATGTGTAATTTTTTACAGAGTTGTCTTCTCTGGGTTTTTACTCTTGGTTTTCCTTCCAATAGGACGGTTGTCTGCCAAGACTGTCGAGCCCGTCCTGCCCGGATCTTTTTATAGAGGTTTTGTCTCCCTCGCGGCCCGTGCAAGCTCAATGCAAGCACCGGCCCCCGGCCCCAATAAATTGGGGTTACGGTCTACCACCCCGGCAGGTATGCCAGGGTGTCCTCCACCTGTCGCTCTCCTTCACGCCCGCGTACTCGAGGACCACGTCCCCGAGCCGTTTGGGCGGAGAAGGAGAGTTACCCTTGTAGGACACCGCTTCCCCCATGCCAGACCGCATCCTATCCTCCCCCAAGATGGAAGAAAAAGGATCGGCCCCAGACACAGGAAGGACCGGCAGCTACGTCCACCCCCTTTAGACAGGGCCACCTGAGTGGCCCCACCAGAGACCCATCCCGCCAGAGCAGCAGCCCCGGCCAAGATAGGCCTCAACCACGGGGGGAGCACTCCCCTGGCCAGCCGCCCCACTGGGCTTACGAACCTGGCCGCCCGTGCATGGAGGGGAGATAGAAATCCTCCCCCTAACGGTGCCATGCCACCGGGGGTTTGAAGTCGGAGTCCCCGTCTCCTACCGGCGGATGGAAAAAGTCCCTAAGGAGTCGCTGGGCTCCCCTTGTTCCCTCCAGCGACGGGAACTTCGTGCGCTCTTGGCACCACAAGACGACTCCAGCGAGCCGCCCCATGGTGAGCCCCTTCACCACGACAAGGTGGCGCACGACGAAGGGGAGGGGACGAGAAACCACAACCTAACCTTGCAACCGGTTCCAGGATGCTCGAAGGACGATCCGGAGATAAAACTGAGGAGGCTATTCGGCGACCTATCCCCGAAAAATAAATAAGTAGATGTAAGAAAAATGTAACCATAGGCTAAGTTAATTAAAATAAATATCTTTTTACTTAACCGTTATTATAAAATAATATATTCTTTAGAATTACATTAGACTTACGATTAAAAGCGTAAATAAAGCGCGAATAAACAATTAAAATAAATTAAATAAATACTTCCCATACTCACCATATAACCAACAGACGTTACCTGGAATAATAAATAATTGTTAATCTTTCCTTAAGATTTTAGTTAGGTTAACAAACAACAAGGTCAGAAAAGTGTAAATGTAATGACCATTATTAATTTTATTATGTATTTAAAAAAATGTAATAATCTTAAGTTTAAAAATCGCGCCTGCTCAATCGTTGACCGAGCTGATCAGACGCGGACCAAACCAAGATGGCGGCAACTGACGACCGCCAGCACGAGCTCCACGATTGGCGGAGACCTTCCAGAGCGGTGATTGGCCGCAGAACAAGCGGAAGGGATACCATGCCAGCGGACGGGTATATAAACCCGTGCCAGGAGGAATCAGTAGTAGTAGTGGATTGAGTGAAATGAAGTAGAAGGGAAGAGGACTCGAAGCGAGAGTCCACCGCTCAGCGGAGTGGTCGGTAACGCGACGACCAATTGTAAACGCGAGTGACCGAGATGTTATCGGCGCGCGTAAAAACATTGTAAGCCACGATGGCTAATCATAAGTGTACTTTTATTTTGTTTGATATTAAATATATATTGTTTATTTTAATTAATCATTAAAATAAAGTGTGCACAAGTTATTTCGGTCCGTACCTGTGTAAAGAAAGGTGGCAACACTTACCTTATCCGTTCTGCATCCCGGTGATCCATCGTACGTGCGCGAGGTGAACCTGTGAACATAAAAAATTGGATTAGAACGAGATACGTTGCAACATCTCATCAGGCGTCTTCGTCCACGCTGAAGGAAGCGACATCCGAGCCCGAGGGTCACGGAAGGACGAGACGAGGATCGCAACCTTCTCGCTTGTAAGGTTAAAGCGAGTGGCGACCAAAACTACGGCGAACGTATTGCTGCCTGCGACTGGTGAGTCCCGAGTATTATCTCTCCATGGGGCGCGTCCGGTTACAACCTAACCTTGCAACCGGTAGGCGGATGCAGCCGGAACGAGCCATCCGTTAAACAGGACTAAACCCATAAGGGGAAATCCGACATCCTGCCGAGAAACAATAAGGGGTAGCTGAGCAGAGACCAAGGCCCAAACCAGCTACG